CCTCTTTTAACTACATCGAGAATGTCCAAATGCTTTGATACAGGAAAATATTGAATAATTTGAAAAGGTTAACAAGTTATTTCCTTTTATCTTCCTATTATTCTCTTTAATGGCAAAGCTGAGTATTTTCTRCCTGTGACAAATTCCAGTTTCAATTCTGCGTGCACTGAGGAAGTCGCTTTGCTGCAGAAYGCAGCTCAATTAAGCCACCTCTCTACAGACTCTGCTGAGGAAGACTCACTGAACAGAACCCAACCATTACCCCATGAACATGAATTAATTCTTGTCATTTTCATTACAGATCATATGCATTTCTACCTTTTTCTTCTGTCACTGATTTCCGTGTTTAGAAACACTTGATAATCTCCCCCGTTTTCAGTGATGCTGCACTAGCAGCAATGTAAATCAGGGTTTCCTTCATGTCAAGCAAGGCACAAAGCAAGGAATCTTCACTTCCAGCTCACAAAACCGTGGTGGGAGGAGGTTACTGACCTCAATCTGCTGAATGGCCTCTTCCCGCTGGCGGATGGCCTCCAGATCCTCCTCCGTGATTTCCGAGAGCAAGGCTTGGTCCTGGCCCTGGTTCTGCCACACGCCATCGCCTCCGTTGAAGATCTTCTCATCATCAGGCAGGTCAGAGAAGGGGGTCTTAGGGCTCTGCTGAGGTGGGAGAATGGAAAGAAAGCAAAGGAAGTGTAAATGTTTCCCAGTGTTACACAGCTTTAGTGTGGGGAAAGGAAATATTGATAGAAGAGATGGCGTAAATGGTGGTGAAAAGGTGAAGAGGAGAAAAATAAATTACATGAGAGGAAACATTTCAAGTGTCAAAGGAAGTTTTAAGACCTGAAGTCAGACCTCCTGAGATGCTTTTGGGCTCCAACAATCAGCTTCAATTCTCCACAGTTCTGACAGAACAAAACACTGGTGTGAAGCTCTAAAATAACACATTCACCTTGTTTAATTTCCCTGCAAATTCTTCCAAAATTAGACACTTTCTCAGGCATATAGAAATCCTATTTGTCTTGAAGATTTTATGATCCAAATTGCAAAATCCAAAACACAAAGGTTCCAATCTTCTCCATTTATGAGATAAACAGCACAGCCCACAAAAGGGGAAATCATTGCAGTGATGAAATTTGAAGAGTGATCGGCCTGAGCAACTCATGGTGTTTGCTCTGTGGAGCTCACCTGGTTTTGCTGACACATCAGATCACAGCCACTGAACCACAGAATGGTTTGAGCAGAAAGGACACTAAAAATCATCTCATTCCTATCCCCCTGCCATGGGCAGGGACACCTTCCACTATCCCAGATTCCTCCAAGCCCCATCCAACCTGGCCTTAAACACTCCCAGGGGGGAKGCAGTCACAGTTTCTCTGGGCACCCTGAGCCAGGGCCTCATCACCCTCTGAGTAAAGAAATTTTTCCTAATAACTAATCTAAATATTTCCACTTTCAGTTCAAAATCATCCCCCCATGCCCTATCTGCCTCTTTAACAAGTTTCTCACCCTCTTTTTTAAAAGCTCATAACTTGTTTTAYAAGCCCCAACATTCCATTTTCTGCTACTTTTGGGAGCTGCACTTACATTCAGATTTTAAAACCTTGTTCAAGAACCAGTTGGATCTCCACTAAAAGTAGAGTCAGAACTTTACCAAGGTCTTCTACAGCCTTAAGGTTCTGTGCCTGTGTCAGGTTCAGTCCTGACTGGATTTGGAGAATGAAATGATTCAGGGTTTATTTGAAGGCTGAGTTCAGGTTCTAAGCTAAGTGGTGCTGTTGAAGGCTCCAACCTTAAAACTGCAGGAGGACTCCCCTTCAAACAATGTTCATGATCCTCTAACTTGCTCTTGAGCTGAGCTCTGACTCCTTAATGAAAGTTCCAATTAAAAAGCAAACCAAGAATTTTGATGCTCTGAAATCTGATGCTCTTGAAAGAAGAAATGACAGTGGCCATGACAGATCATTGACCAGAATGTCCCCATAGCTTCTAAACCAAAACAAAACAAAAAGAAAACTGCCACAAGTAGTCAGGGACAYGTTCAGTTCTTTGAATCTGGATTTATCTGAAGCACAAACAATGGGAGTTTTGTCTGAAAAATTAAAGCCTTTGCTGCCTGTCTGTGGCTATATCTTCAAAAATTTTAATTTCCCCAGATTCCTACAGGGTGAACAGGTAGTGAAACCATGGACAGTTTGCTGGAATGGCATAGGATGGAACAACTGGAGGGACCAGGAGGACTTGAGTCTGTTTATTTAACTCTCTAACCCTTCTTTATCTCATCAAAAAGTATGTAATTCCTATATTCAGAAACCATAGAATTTTTGCATTTATCCAAACTTAGTATTCTGAAATTAATTCATTATTATTATTGTTATCATCATACTAGCTGGACACAAGGAAAATAACAAAATGTGGTAAAGGAGGTGGGGTGATGGAAGAAKGAGAAGGAAATAAGGAAAATCAGCAGTGAACAGTCAAGTATCTTTCCAAATATGAACAGAAGTTGAAAATCTTTGACATTAATGTCACACTTTGTTTCACCTTCTGCTTTTCGGGGATCTGTTATCTACTGAGAAAGGGTGTGTTACAGGAAGAAAATCATCATTTAAAATTAGCCTAAAGATTCATTTACGCTTTAAAATACATATTTTATTAGGATTAAGATACTCCGGGGGTGTTTTATTCACTAATTATTATGTGCCTTGGACACTAACTCCCCTGGTAGAGTGTTTCAGTGCCAAAAGAGTGTATTAATGGACTGAGGGGAAAAAAAAAAAAAAAAAATACCACCTTTGGGGTATTTTAAAGCTTTATTTGGTGGCACAAGTGTCCTCTCATCTTCACCAGTGGGGTAAGATGAGCAGAGCCAATAAGCTCATTGCCAATTGCACTGGAAGATCCCAAGAATCTTCCCTATGGAGACACAGGAAAAGTATTCTGATGAAATTTGTGTGCTCTGGTCACTGCAAGGACACTGCACCAAGGACCTCAATGTCCATGAATGGACACTCAAAGCCCTGCTTGTCCCCTGCAGGTTTGAATTTCAGTGGAAGATGATAAATTTGCAAGTGTTCAAATGTTTCCCGTTCTGTTGTGGGAGCACAGGAGAGCCAACAATGCAGCAACCATCTCTTCAAATTAGATTAGTCCATGGAATAACACAGTTGTACCACAAACATGCTTTGTCTTGGCCTGTGTCAACTTTATTTGTMATCCTCACTAGCTGGGCCTGGTGTCTGTAAATAACACAACCCCCTCAAAATTGCTCAGATAATGCATTGCCAGGTTGCTGCTCAGTCATCTTTAAAAAAAAAAAAAAAAAAAAAAAAAAAAAAAAAAAAAAAAAAAAAAAAAAAAAAAAAAAAAACAAAAAAAAAAAAAAAAACAAAACAAAACAACAAACCCAAACAGCTATTCATGTGTTTAAATAGGTAAAGGTCTAGACACAGATTTTCTCTAAACAAAGTAGTGACCTAAGTTAATTTCAGAGCTGCTGAAGGCAATTACATGCCCTTGTGTGCTTAACATCTTCCGAAAAAATCCGACTGCGGCCGCCGAATGAGTAAATCAGTAAAACAACAGGATGCAGGGGGGGGCTGATATTTCCTTCCAGACATAAAAATGGCTCCATAATAATATTAAATACAGTCACCATGACCTGCTATCAGGGTCTGTGTGCTGTGCTAAAAAATAAAAGTGATTTTGTGCTGTTGATGGCTCAGAGCCCCTCATTTCTGTGATAAAGTGAACAAATCTTAAWTTTGAAACTGTGAAGGAATCTAATCACTTCTAATACCTTTGATTGAAAGCTGCACATAGCTTGGCTTATCAGTGGTCTTCATTCCCTTTTGAGTTATGTTCATTGCCATGTCTGACAAAACATTTTATTTATAGCAAGAAAAGATCAGATGGAGGGCACTCACTGAGCCTCCACAGATAAGTTCCCTTTGACACYGCTCTGGAAGGGGCCATAACTCCCTGTACAGGCATTTCCACAATAAATTTGATTTAGTGCCAACTTTTATGCCCTGTGAATCTCTGTGTAATTTTCTGTCGGATTTCCTTTCATAAATTGTTAATTGGATGTGTTTGAAGTTGTTCTTTTGTTGAAATTTGCCTCTGGCAGATTTTTGTCAAGATGTATCTATAAACTGAACTCTGCCAATGGAAAAAAAAAAAAAAATGATAGCAGAGAAAAAGTTGAGTATATCTGATATGCTCAGTAGTTCTTTTAAAACGAAATCCTTAGGACTGAGGGTCACACCRTGCTGCTGTTCATCACATCTGAAAAATTATGCCCAGGCACAACATTTTTCCTGTTGGATAAAATCTTTTCACCAGGATAAAATCGTTGCTGCTTACAACTACATTTTTTTATCAGATTTATTCTACCAATGGGAGAGATGCTATATGCAGCTGCTGATAGGGAGGAAAAAAAATAAGAAAAAGAAGTTTTTATCTGGATGGTGACAGCTTCTGTCAGCGCCTGTACTTTATCAGYAGTGAAATCTTTGCCTCAGAAGTTATATGTCTAAGACCCCTCCAAAAATAACCCCCTCCCAACCCTGGTCCTGTCTCACTCCCCATTTGCCTATCAGAAGGGACAGAATATCACAAGTTTGACAACTTATGTCACACAAAATCACCAGGCAAGGGATTGAAATGTCCTCTCTYTCTGCTCCCATATGGTTTTTATTCCACAGAGAAGCAGAAATCTAATGGGAACTCCAGCTAACAGGACACCCACCAGCCCTCACAGCTCATCTTCAGAGAACTGGGAGTGTCCTGGTGCAGTGAGAGTGTCCTGGTAGCTCCCAGTCCTGCGGCTCGTTTTGACATCACTGACTTTAACATTGACATTTCTTACTGCTGGTTACAAGACTGTTCCCTTATGGCAAATTCAGGGCATGAAATGTTGCCTGGAGATGTATGAGAAATGGCTTTTAGTGCCAGGGAAATGTTTTGTGATTTCAAAGGAAAATTTCCTCTCAAATCCTCCCCAAAACCCGAAGTTATAGAGAACATTATACAACACAGACAAATACAGAGACACACACCCTCCCTCTAGCTCAGGTTASAATAAAAAAAGATAATAAAGGTGAGAAATCAGATGGGCCTCTCACAGTCTCACCAAAAAGAACTGTAAGAGTTGATGTAAATAACCAAGAGTTATTGAAGCTGGATTTACAGAACTTGTTCACCAGGTGAGTGACACCACAGGGACAGGAGAATTGAAGGGCTGAGGAAGACATTCACAAACTCCTACTTTCAACCTYGGCATGAAGACAAAGGAACTTGATTAAACCTGGAATGAAACAACATGAACACATTTCTATACTGTCTTCTTCCACTCCAAACTCCACCAGGAGTTGTGTCCTGGGGAGGAGAGTTTGATTTGTGTGTGTGGAAGTTTGGGAAGAGGATACAGACACAGTATCTTGGGATGGATGGGGCAGAGCTGTTGTCAGAGCAGTGAAGGGGAGCAAGAGGCTGGAGAGCAGCCCATGGAAAAGGACTTGGTGATCCTGGCTGACAGAAAGTTTAATTTGAGCCAGTAATCCCTCATCTGGACTGAAAAACTAATTCTGGAGAAGAAGAAAGAGCACAAGTTCATTTTTCCTGACCACTAGTCCATTCATTTACACTTTTCAAGCAGC